GTTAGATCAAGACCTTTACCTCTTATACCACAGTATGGGAGTTTATCCAATAGTTTGCTGTGGCTAACACAATCAAGTGCCTTTGAGAGGTCACAGAAACTTGCTGAAAGCATCTGTGTATCCTCAAAAGCACTGACAATATCAGTCACCAGCTTTGTGATAGCATTTATTGTTGAGGACTTCTTTTTAAAACCAAATAAATTGTTGGTCACTCAGAAGATTAAATTTGTTAAGGTATGCAAAAAGTTAATTGTTAAAAGCTTTTTCAATAGGCTTTGATAGTATAGGTACTATTGATATAGGTCTGTAGTTTTCTGGAAGGTTTTCATTTCCTTTTTTTTTGTATATAGGAGAAACTTTTGAAGTCTTTAAATCCTGAGGAAATGTGCCGTTAGTAAAACATTTATTTATAATCACGATGAGTGGATCATATATACCGTCTGCTAATAATTTAAGAATTTTATTGCTAATACCAAACACATCCAATGTTGTGCTATTCATTAACAATATCTTTTAATTCCTCCCTATTTACCGGATATAGAAAAAGAGTATTGTTATTCCAAACATGCTTTTTCATTGAGTCTAAGGGCTTCTCCTATTTGAGATAGGTGCCTGTAACAAATTTGTGATATTATTAGAGACATTGAGGTAAAAATTATTAAGATCACTAGGGTTAAGTTTAGTGTTATTTGATTTTTTTATCTTTTTTATTTGGTTTTATGAGTTGCCATATACTTCTGGACCTATTCTTGGATGAATTAATTTTATTTGTGAAATAGTTTTGTTTTTGTTCCCGAATTTTATTTTTATATGTAAGTTTTAGATTTTTAATTTCTAATTCTAAATTATCATCTTTTATCACTTTTATTAGTTGGTGTAAATCGTTTAGCTGTTGTCTGATTAGTTTTAGTTCATAATTATACCATTTTTTATTTTTATTTCGTGTATGAACGTTTTTGGTTTTTATTGGTAAATATTCTTCAACGGCATGTCGGAATGTTTCTAGAAAAATATGGCACATATTATCTACACTATCTGAATCTTTAAGTAAAGTCCAGTCATGGTTTTTTAAGTAATCAATGCAGTCGTTTATTCTTGTTTCGTTTAGTGGTCTGAATTTTATGATGCTGGTCTGATTATCTAAGCAATGATTTTGAGGTAAGTTAATCGTTTTTATGATACATTTATGATCTGAAAGGTAAAAATCTTCAAGATCTATTTTACAATCCGCTGGAGGGATGTTTGCTAAACAATTATCTAAACAATATTTTGATTTTTTTTGTAATTCTGGTAGGTTCCGACACTAAATAGTTAAAATTATAAGATCTCAGTAAGTTAATGAAATCATTTTTTAAGTTACTATCAACTAAAATATCAATATTGAAGTCACCTAAGATAAAAACATTTTTTTGACAATACACATGTTTAAGAACTTGGGTTAAAACTTCAAAAAACAGATTTACATTATCTAAAGGGTAAAGAATGTAATGAGGCAAATGATACATTATTTTTTCTTTCGAAATGAAATTCCTTCACTCAAAAAATTGCACTCAGAAATAGTTCCACTCTTCCAAATATATCATATCTTCATCTGCAAAAAATATTAAATTAATTAAATTTTCATCACAAGAAACGTGACAGAAACAGCTTTTTAACAGCAAATGGATTCAGCTTTCGCAGCCATAGCTCTCGAATTCAGACATATAAACAGAGAAAGACGAAATCATTGCGTGGATACATGATTATTTAAGGAAAATAGAGGACGCCGCAAGAAATCAACATAAACAGATATTTTATTTAGATGAAACAAAAATTTGGCAAAATACCTCCATCAAAAACTAAAATATAAGCCTGTATGGAAGGGGTTTCTTGTGGTTTAACAAATCCAACAGGAAAAGAAAATCGTTTAATAATAACCCACATTGGAAGCACCGATGTAATTTTACCAGATGGTTTATTAATGTTCAAGTCAAAGAAAACAAAAGACTACCATGAATAAATGGATGGCCCTATGTTTGAAAATTGGTTTCAGGACATCATAAAAAAAATTGCAACAACTCCGTGATTGTTTTGAATAATGCATCCTGTCACAGTCGATAAAAGGAGTCACTACCTACAATAAGATGAAAAAAAGAAGATATTTTAAAATAACTTTATTCTAAAAATATTATCAGGCCTCCTAAATCCTTGAAGGTAGGATTACTCGTAATAGCAAGGCAACAAAAAAATTAATTCAAAATATATATTATAGATGAGGCGACCCGAGAAAAAGAAATTAAAATTATCAGATTGCCAATGGAAAACTTAATACACCCTATAATAATAAACCCCAGTAATTTTAATGATACCAGTAGTTACAGTGAAGACAGTGACTATTAAAGATAGTTCTTGAAATTTTTATTTTTTTTAATCTTTGATTTTAGATCTTGAAGTGTTACTTTTAATGCCAACACATTAAAAAAGTTTAATCCCATTAACAACGTATTGTCATGAATTCCTAATCCGACCCTGTATACGCACGCAACCGACTCGTGATCGAAGCAACGCTGACGTGTGAAAACAGCCGGCCCGCGTCTCGAATATACAAGAATACGACGGAATGCCTGCCGCTGATGCACTAGAAACAGCTGGAACGGCGGGGAGTGCCGTTTAGTCATCGAAGTAGAATCTTCGCGAGCCTTTAGCATTTTCCAGTAGCGGAGTTGGACTAATATAAATAGCCGACGTATCGGCGCCGAGTTTAATTTAATATAGAACATTGTATTGAAAAGTTAAAGTGTAAGAAATAAATTAGAATTGTTAATTAGTGTCTAAATATTATATAAATTAAATAGTACGTCTGAAATAAATTGTAAATAGTGTGTTTTTAAATAAATAAACTAAAAATAAATTAGACTATCGTCACAGTATACTCCTTGTTATTTATTGGTTAAATTTAATTCGTTCAATGTTAAAGTGCAAAAATTTTTATTTTTTGTATATAATACAACTTTTTATTCAAAATTTTATCTACGAAGTATAATACAGGGTGTCTGTAAAAGGTCTTTACAAAAACATACCACATATTCCTTAGACCAAAATAAGTCGATTTAATTAAAATTACCTTAGTACAAAGTTGCTTCGTTTGGGCTCCAGAGGGCATTGAAGTTACAATTTTTAAATCGTTTTTCCCATATAAATTTAAAACGGCATATGCGATTTTGCTGAAATTTGGTATATTGGTAGAGTTTTATATGCCAAAAAACATAGTATTAAAATTTTGTCCGATAATAATACATAGGCGTAGAACTTGATTTTTTAAATAATTGCACCTTTAAAAATTCTACGCCAATGGAAGAAAAGGAGTTTGAGTATGAAATTTAGATTGCGCAACTCATTTACTTTAAAAAACGTACTCTTGATAAGACTCGATTACTCTCATGGTTTTGACGAAATTTGCATTTTAGTAATTTTAGAACATAAACAATAATTATTAAAATACAAACTTTGTCAAAACCATGAGAGTAAATCGAGTGTTATCAAGGATACTTTTTTATAGTAAATGAGTACCCAATCCAAATTTCATACTCAAACCCCTTTTTTGCTATTGGCGTAGAATTTTTAAAGGTGCAATTATTTAAAAATTCAAGTTCTACGCCTATGTATTATTATCGGACAAAATTTTATACGATGAAAAACATAAAAATGTACTTTTTTCATATCTTCTTCAATGCCTCTAATCGAGACTTTTAACAAAAATACTCGATTCTTGCCATGTAGGATTTTTTGAGGAATATTAATTATTTGCCTGCAATACGTATACAAAAACATTTATTGTTGGTTTCCATAATTTTATCTAAATAAAAATATTGTCAAGTTTTAACACCTAATCTCTTGTTAACGATTGAAAGTGTTCTATCTGACTCAATAATTAAAAAAACAAATGGGTGGTTTATTAATATGGCTGTACAATATACCAATGCAGAATATACCGATATGTTACTGACATTAGAATTTTGTGAAAGAAATGCTCGAGAGAGTGTCAGGGTGTACTCTGAAAGGTTTCCAAATCGTCGTGTACCTAGACACCCAACTTTTGCTGCTGTTGAGAGACGTCTTCGGGAGACCGGTTCCTTTGCTCCCAACACTGTTGATAATGGAAGAGAACGTTTTGTTAGGATTCCTGAAGTTAAAGAAGATATTTTAGAACGTGTTGAAGAAGATCCAGAATTAAGCACCAGACGAATTGGAAGGGAACTAGGTGTAAGTAAAGATGTCGTTCATAAAGTGCTTAGAGAACAATTGCTATATCCATACCATAAGAAGCCAGTACAAGAATTATTAGTCCATGATCCTCAAACTCGTTTGGGTTTTTGTCGATTTATTAATATGCAAAGAGAAAGAGATCCAAACTTTGCCAGAATTGTTAGAAGATTTACTACCTCTCCAATTTCGGAGAGATATGTGGTTTATGCAAGATGGAGCTCCACCACATTTTTCTTTAAACGTTAGAAACCACTTGAATGAACAATATCCACACAAATGGATAGGCAGAGGTAATGACGCACCTGTAAACTGGCCACCACGTTCCCCAGACGTAACACCGATGGATTACTTTTTATGGGGACATCTGAAATCCACAGTTTACAGGGAACCTGTAGAAAATGAGGAACAACTATGGCAACGTATTCAAGATGCAATAAACAATCTTAGAGGTGATGAAGAAGTTATGGAAAGGATACATTTTAATTTTCTTCGACGTATAAATCTTTGTATGCGTGAAAATTGTGAACATTTTGAACAAGTTTTTTTTTTTTTTCAAGCTGAAATTCATCATTGATGCCTGTCACATGACGTCATAGATTGATTACCGATGTAACGTTTGTGTTGCGGCATTTATCATTTAGCCAAGTGTAAGAGTAAAAACATTTTTAAATCTAAACTCATTAAAAAAATAAATAAGATGTTTTTAAAAACTAATAAGAATAACTGACCATTAAATACTGATTCAAAGCACTTACCTCATTTTCATTTAGAAACCAGGTAACATTGGCATATGGATAGGAAGGTGGTGAAGCACATTCAGCATGTACTTGATCACCATATCTAAGATAATCGTTTTCTACAAAAATAGTTGGTTCACCATGTGGAAGTCCTGTACAAAATACAAATTGCTATTATCAATATAACTTGTATTAAAATAGTTATTTATTATTCAAGGGAAAATTTAATGTTTTTACTCGTGTATAATATATTTTCTGTGACGATTTAATATTGAATAAATATATAAATTAATACAATACAGGGTGTCCCAAATAAGAGTGATCGATTTTAAATGTAAATGCACAGCTTATGCTCTAAAGAGATGGGATTTTCACTAATTGATTTCATTTATCCAAAAGTTTTTTTTCAAGTTTGTTCACATTTTATCACATTAATACAGGGTGATCTCCATTAATGTTAGTCAACTTGAATGGAAAAAATATGTATTATTTTAAATGGAACACCCTGTATATTTTGATGGAATTCAAAAGCGAGATTCATCTACTTTTTAAAAATGTATAGTTTGATATCTTTTGTTTTCTTAACAACACAGATTTTCGAGTTTTTAAGTAACACTGCTGTTTTCTTTATTTAAAAGCTGACATTAAATAAAATTAACAAAAAGAATTTATTCAGTAACAAAACATGACAAAAATTTATTAAAAATTAGAAAACAAACATTTATAATGGAGATGTAAAAGTTACAAGAAATGCTGTATGTGTCTACCCTCTTGTTCAATGCACATACGCAAGCGAAATTTTAAATTTTCAAACGATTTTTCTAACCTATCTGGCGGAATATTTTCGATAATGTTCCTAATGTTATCTTTTAGTTCTTCTACGTTGTTAGGCTTGGACTGTAGCATTTATCCTTCACATATCCCCAGAGAAAAAAATTTGGGATAGTTAGATCAGGAGATCGCGGTGACCACTCAATCGGTCCAGCTCGACCTATCCACTTTTGATTAAAAAAAATATTTAACGAATCTCGTGTTATCATTGAAAAATGAGGTGGTGCGCCATCTTATTGAAAGTAAACGATGTCTCTAATTCCATCTTGAACTAATTGTGGATAAAAAAACTGTTCCAACATATCCGTGTAATTTGTACCTGTCACAGTTGGTTCCGTAAAGAAAAAAGGACCATAGATTTTTCTAGGGAACAACCCACACCAAACTTTAACTTTTGAACTATCTCTTTCAAATTCATTAAAAGAAGTGGGGTTTTCAGAACCCCATATTCTGCAATTTTGTTTGTTACACATTCCACTAATGTAAAAGGTTGCTTCATCAGACATGATTAATAACGTATTAAGGTTCATTCCTGAATAAATCTAGTAAAGTCTCGCATACCCTTAGTCGTTTTTCATAATCTAACGGGTACAATTTTTGGTAGGTCTGAATTTTATATGGAGTCAGTTCTAAAATTTGTAGACACCTTTGCACGTCACTTTTGGAAATGTCTAAAATTCCAGCAATCTTTCTAATCGAAATTCTGTAACTGTTAGCTTGCAGCACTTCATTAAGGGCGGGCGTGGGCAATGTATTTAACATAGGCATACACAACGCTCTTTCAATGACTTTTTAGCTGAAACTACAACAAAGATAAAAGTGAAAAAATTCCTGCCGATAATAGATATATACTACTGTTCAATAAAGGTTTTTGGTGTCTCTAACTATAAGGGATCGTTTAAAAATAATTCCCAAAATATGGTAATTTTTACGATGAAATAAAGCTAAAAATATACCAGTAATAATTACCCGATGATGAAAATAATTCTTCTTTGAATAGGCTATATACTAAAGCAACAAATGTCACTTAAAATATCTAAATTAATTGCGTCAATTTTCTTAAAAGCTCATTGAAGTAAATTTTGGAATAAATTATAAATCGCCATTTATGTGTAATAATTGCCTAAAATATAAAAGAAAACTTCCTAAAATTGCATACAGTAGCCACAGGTTAATTCGGATCTTCTCTAATAGATGGCGCTAAAGTCGTCTTGAATAAAAATAAAAATAAATTCAAATATGCAGGTCCTTATTTAGGAGTTTACTAATATGTATATCATTTCAATTATTAAGTTGATTTGTATTCGATTTTTTTAATTTTGTAAGAATTAAACATATTCAATATTTGCGTAAGAGCATGAAGGATATGTAAGTAATGAGAGGAAGCCTCAACTGTATACTTTGAGATCGGAAAATGTCTGCACGGAGATGGTAAAAATTTATTGCTTGCTTATTTTGTTGGATACTGGAGCCTAGGTGTTAATGGTACTTTTAATTGTTTTATAAAATTGAATATTTCAAATATTCATACAAATCTAATATGCTTAAATGTATTTTTTTTTTAAATTAGGTTTTAACTTTCATGTATCCAGTAAAGTATAGGATTGCTTTTTTTTTCGACTTGTAGTTTTCAACTGTACTTTAGGTTTTAACGATAATTCAAAAATGAATAAACAGTAAATTTTAAACTTCAAATTTAATCTAATAAAAGCTAATAAAAGTTATATAGATTTGAAAAATAGATATTTTAAAAATATTTTTGGATATACAGGGTATTGCGTTTTTCCTGGCAAATAAAAATGTATATTTTTTAGATAGAATACCCTGTATTTTATTTTTAGAATATTTTAGTAATACTGTATTCAATCCTAGAAAATATTTTTATAAAATATTACACTATTGCCAAGCATTAATTTTTTTTAAATTAGAGAATGATGCAGACCGCAAATTAAATTATCATAATTTAGGTAGGTTTACATTGATCTCAAAATTGTTTAATATACAGACTTACAAGATACTAAGCTAACGAATAGTGGAGATAGAACTGATTTTAAGTTCAATTTACTCAATTTTTTAAAATGCATCATCGTGTATATTATCTTATCATAAAATTCTTTAAAAATTTGTCTATACAACGACACCAATAGTTAGCCAATAACGCATATTTGATAGATAGCTGTTTTATTATTAGAAATACGACGAAATTTTTAATATAAAAGTTGTATGATTATATTTAACAATTATTCCTAAATATACAGGGTGGTCCATAAACGAGGTGCGAACCAAATCTATACTTTTTAAAAGCAAAACACCCTGCAGGTTGTTATACTAATTTTGTTTTCTCATCGTCAATCAATTTTAATAAAATTAACTTCATTAATTTGCTATGTTGTATAGGGTGTGTCAAAACGTGAGGTTACGATTTTCTCAATTTTGTAAATGGACCCTGTATTAATCAATTGGTGGTATAACATATAGCGTATTCCATTTAAAAAAATTGAGAAAATTGAAAATTTTAACACACCCTATATTCAACATAGCAAATAAATGAAGTCTATTAAAATTGATTGACGATGTGAAAACAAGCAGATATGGGTCAGCCCCTCGTTTATGTAACACCCCGTATAATTAAGAATTTTTATTAAACACGGTCAAACAACTTTATTATTTTTGTGTTTCGTATTTCCAATATTAAAACAGCTATTGATCAATTACGCACTAATGGGACACCCTGTATTTGTGTTATTGGCTAACATGTTAGTATCGTTGGATAGGTAAATTTAAAGAAATTTTATGCTAAAATTTTGCATTTAAAAAAATTGACGAAATTCAACTTAAAATTGGTTATATTTAAGACATAAAATAAACCAATTCTATCACCACTACTCGTTAGCTTAGTATCTTATAATAATGTATTTAAAACAATTTTAAATCATTGTAAACCTACCTAAATTATGATAATTTAATTTGGGATCTGCATCATTCTCTAATTTCGTAAAAAAAATAATGGCTTGACAAACCTGTTATATTTTTAAACAAAATTCTAGGGCTACATACAGTTTCTAGGGCTACATACAGTTTCTAGGGCTACATACAGTACTATCAAACCATTCTAAAACTAAAATAAAATACAGAATGTTCTATTTATTTGCCAGACAAAAACGCAACACCAAGTGTACTCAAAAATATTTTTAAAATACGTATTTTTTTAAATCTATATAATTTTTATTTAAAACTTATTGGCGTGTCAATAACACAAATTGAAATATTTAACAATTACGCACTAATAGAGCACTTTATAGAGCTTGTCAGCATTGGGGTGATCAACTCAATTGTTCGCATTCTGCTTTTATAACCGTGTTGTTATAAATAAAGGCATAGGTACCTATAGAAAATAAATTGAAGCCCACTAAAGAACTTCTTTGTTCATACTTTACAGAACCTATCTACCTAGTTGATGCCCTTACGTAGAGTGTATGTATTAAAATATTCGCGCTAGAAAACGATTTACCTCCCACTCTTTTGCCACAAGCTGAATTTTTCAGAGATAAAAGGTCATGATAAGGTAACCCTTATTCCAGAGGTAATACAAAATAAGACTGTGCAGAAGGGCACTATCGCCAAAAAACCAGATATTGATACCGCCGAATAGAGAAAAAATTACTCATTTTTTGTTCCAATGCACAATAAAATCTTTGAAGGGAGTAACTGTTTATACTTAAAAATCATTTACATTAGTACTTACGGCAGAAAAAAAAATTAAACTTAAATATCTCAGTTTCACCTCTTCAAAAATTTGGTTAAAAAGTCGTCTTTTTTAAATATACCACTCATTTAACAAAAAAGGAAGGCCTAAATGAAAAAAGAAATCATAAAAATTTTGTTTATGTGTTGACAAGGTAACAGAGTAAACACCATATTTCTGCTTTTGAATTAACAAAGATATAACAAGAAACGATGAGAGATGTTATAGGTTTACGCTGTAATTAATTCCCACCGCCAATTCATCGACTTTCAGTGCATGTCTCTCTTCGCCTTCAACGTAGCATAGCTATGTTTCTCTCTACATGCCGGCTGATGCATCACATTATTGATGTGGTAGGATTTTTTCATTTTTTTATTATAAAACTTCTCGTTAGGTCCCCCAATGGGCAATGTGTCATATTGTTATCTGTTTTTACTAAAGAATTAATAAGTGTATGTGTTATATATTAAAGTACCTAATAAATTGGGAAGAAATATAGACATTTTTGCGTCTTTATTATATCTACATTCATCCTGTTGCGGCTGAATATATTTGGGTAAGTTATAAGTTTTCGTT